ACAATAAAAAAAAAAAAAAAAAAAAAACTAACTGAATTTGATTTCTGCTGTGGGTTAAATGACCAAGATAGATTTTCTTTTCTCTGGCAAACAGTGTGCTTGGATTCCAAAAGACATTACTCTTTAAAGGAACTAATTCTTGATCCTAACTCTAGGACCAAGTAATAACTCTTGGTCCTATAAGTACCAAGTCATTCATTCTTTCTACCCGGGCCTTGCGATGTTTCCATCCATTGGTTTTGGCATTCATCTAGAGAATACAATGTCTATAATTAGGAAGGGAGTATTTTAAGTAAAACTCATTAAATCAAACTCTTGGTTAGTATAGAAAGATCTGTAGAGGCATTAGTTTTCATTGTTTTAGAAGTTTATAGTATGTGAGTAGTATATACCTTCTAAAATGTTCAGTAGTAATTGTGTATCATGTTCCCAGTATACAACCTTCCATTCTTGTAAAAGACTTAGGATTAATATGGTTTTAAAAAAACTATGACAGAGCCATTAGCCACTAGTAATATTAAAATTGTTCTGGCATACATATTTATAGATAAGCAAAAAAACCTAATTGTTGATCCTCTTAAATGACTGTGCACTGTCAGCCTTTAATCTTCCTACAGCATTTCATACATTCAGAATGAATCAATGTCTAGTAGGGAAACCACAACCATTTTTCTGGACATTGCATACTTACGGGCATGCAGCTACCACTATGGGCTTAGATTTTTGCATGTGTGCACATGTACATGTGTGGGTGTATACACATACACATTATTCAAATATAAAATGGACTGCTCTGAGCATTAAACTAGTTGAAGTGATGATGACTTGTACTATGAAAATATGCTTATGGATAAGTATCTTGTCTCAAGCAGCTCATCAAAAATTGCTGGCTAAGGAGACTAGCTCAGGCTGCACTTGAGTTGGTATTCTTTGATTACTAATTACAGTGAGGCTGCTCTTGGATTAATCTACTTATCTATATTTGAATTGCATTTATCACTTTAGTTACTAGGAGCTTTTTGACAAGTATGCCTCCCTAATAAGAAACAAAATGTAAAGAAAAAAATCCTTTCTTTCTCTTAACTCTATAGAATTCTGGGACTAAGTGTAAGGAATCTGTATATTTGGTTTACAATTTTTTAAAAGCCAACATCAATAAATGGATTTTTATATCCTGCTTTGAACTTTTTTCATCTGGGCAAAGTGGCTATGGAGCTTGAGACCTTTAAATGAAAAACACGTTCCCCTAGAACTCATTTTAAACCTAGGGGCAACATCCTGAAGTTTCAACAAAGCGTACACAGGTCTAGGTATCGATTCTCTGGCAATAAATTCTGAGGTACTTATGACTCTTTCCAATAACATTTTATATTGGGTGCTTTTCTGGACAGCCTACCAACATGGCAACTGGTTCCCCAAAAAAGGATGAGTTGCAACTAGTTACAGTTCGTTATAAGAGTTGAAAAATACCAGTGGTTCCCAAATACCAGTCTGCAGACTAGATAGTTCTAAATTACCTGGGAGTGTTTTAAACAAATAGAGATTCTTGAACCCGTCTGCTAGAGAGCCTTATTTAGTGGGTCTGGGATATGGCCTTAGAGTCTGTTTTTTGTTAGATTGTTTTTTAAATGACAAATTCTTCCCTATCCACCATAAAAGATAAGGAAAGACATTATATAATGATTAAAGGGACAATCCACCATGAGGCCATAATCATAATAAATATTTACACACCCAGTGACAGGGCTCCAAAATACATAAAACGGACTCTAACAGCCTGAAAAGACAAATTGACATTTCCACAGTAATAGTAGGAGACTTCAACACACCACTCTTGGTAAAGGACAGAAAATCTAGAAAGAAACTCAACAAAGATACAGAAGATCTAAAGGCCGCAATCAACCAACTTGATGTCATAGCTATGTATAGAACACTCCACCCAATAGCAGCAAAGTACATATTCTTTTTCAACAAACAAGGAACGTTCTCCAGAATAGACCACATTTTAGGCCACAAAGCAACGCTCAACACAATCCAAAACATTGAGATAATACAAAGCATCTTCTCTGATCACAGCGCCATCAAAGTAGAAATTAATAACAGGAAGAGCAAGGAAACAAAATCAAACGCATGGAAACTGAATGACGCCTTGCTTAAAAATTCTTCTCTGGTGATTCTGATGCAGTGCTAGATTCAGGAGTCAGAGAAGTGATATTAAGATTTCACCGGATATCCAAACTATATTTTGTTGGACAGTCCTATCTGAAACTTTGTTGCTGTTAGCTGCTGTCCAGTTGGCCACTGACTCCGGGGACACAATGCATAATGAGATCAGACTATTGTGGTCTATAGGGTTTTCGTTGGCTGATTTTCAGTAGCAGATCACTAGCCCCTTCTTCCTAATGTCTTAGTCTGGAAGCTCAGTTGAAACCTGTTCAGCATCACAGCAACACACAAGCCTCCACTGACAGACAGATGGTGACTGTGCTTGAGGTGCATTGGCTGGGAATTGAGCCCCATCTCTGTCATGGAAGGCAAGAATTCTACCACTGAAACGCCACTGCCCTCATCGGAAGCTTTACTGATTAGTAATCATTTTCACATTTTTAGTCTTCGAAGTAGCTCAGGCAAAAATTGTGGGTTACATTTGAGCACTTAGCAGTAAGGATAGAACTTTTCACGCAATCTCAAGATATATTTTTCATTTTCTTGATAATTAATTGATCAAATTAATAAGTATAGCTATATTTCCTTATGGCTTGTTATGCGTCAGGCCTGGTACTGTCCCTGGCACGTATTATCATCACACTTACACATACAACCCCCTTAGGAGGTGAGAATGGAGATTTCCATTTTATACAGGTGAAGCTGAGGCTTCGGGAGGTTATGTAACTTGGCCAAGCTCCTTGTGAATTCTATTACTAAATGTTAAAATTTTGGCCTGCAATCAATTGTACCTAATGGAGTATGGATACGTAAGCATACATAAGTATGTAAGTGTATGTAAGTATAAATTAAAGCAGCTCTTTTTAAAAAGCATGCTCGTTCAACTACCCAGAAGTGTAAACTTCAAAAACACTTTAATCATGGCTCTAGAAAGACAGTGTCTGAGTCAGAATTTTGTTGACAAACAAATTATACCCTAAAAATTAAATGAAGGTTTGCAAGGCCTAGAGTCCATATTTTTCAGAAGAATAGATAGTGCCTGTTTATTTTGATTTGAGGAAGAAGCATCATCTATTAAAAGGGTTCCCATTATGATGAGGTCAGTTTGGTATAATTCTTTGTCTTGGTGTGATGTTGTGCTCTTCTAAAAATAGATAATATTTCAGCGTCTATCTTTTCTCTTCTTTGTTCCAAGATTTCATATTCTAAATTCTGAAGCATGTGGTATTGTTTTAGAAGTTTGCCTTTCCCATCATGAGGAATATGACATTGTTCTTACAGAATGAACTAGATTTCAAATGTAGGGAAGTTCAAAGAGGAAGTTGGTGGTTCTTAGCAATTAGATGACCGTTATTTGTCTTGAAATAAGGATATCATTCAGAGGTGGTAGTTAATCTCACGCAACATAAACACCGTTGCATCAATTCTACTGCTTGGTGACTTGATAATGCATTAAATCTGCACTTTTTGTTATAACTGTTTCACAGGAGCTTTGTCCTATGCTGAACTGGGAACAAGTATAAAGAAATCTGGTGGTCATTACACATATATTCTGGAAGTCTTTGGTCCATTACCAGCTTTTGTGCGAGTCTGGGTAGAACTGCTTGTAATACGGTAAGAGCATAGATAGGAAAAAATTAAGGAAAAGTAAACCTATTTATTACACTCTTTTTCTGAATCACCTTGATTATTTTTAATTAATTATGTGTATGCATGTCATGTGACTATGTTATAAACATATCTATTTCCGGACATAAAATCTATGATAAAATACTTTTCTAAATTAACATTTTTAATACAGTTTTCCACTGGTGGTGGTACACCAACCATGCCAAACCTTTTTTTTCTTTTTTTTTTTTTAATTGTACTTTAGATGAAGGTTTACAGAACAAATAGTTTCTCATTAAACAGTTAGTACACATATTGTTTTATGACAATGGTTAACAACCCTACGACATGTCAACACTGTCCCTTCTCAACCTTGGGTTCCCTATTACCAGTTTTCCTGTCCCCTCCTGCCTTCTAGTCCTTGTCCCTGGACTGTTGTGCCCCATTAGTCTCAACCATGCTAAACTTTTAAAGTAAGTGCTCTTCTTTAATCTTCAGTCTCTTTGACATTTCTAGGAAAGATGTTGGTTTGAAAAGACACGAAGAATCAAAATCCACCTTGATAAATGAATTTTTTCCTAATCAGACACAATTAAATATTATACTAGGAATTGGAGTTTTCTCTTAATGTAGATCACACCCTTAAGTCACTTAACTTTACATAATTTTGTGACTAAGAAATGTCTGCCCCAGCAGCTTAGTGTGGCACGGAGTCTTATACTTTACACACAAAAGAAAAGGTTTACATAAATGACTCACTTCCTCACATTAATCAAATCAGCCAGCTACAAATGTGAAAAATTTTTTTTAATTTTATTGTTGTAACAATGTGTTCCTCTTCCTGATTGTCTTGGTTTTAAATCAAACCAAATAGTGCTAAGTCACTCTGAATAGCAATTTTCCTTAAACTTTGTGGGGAGCTTATGATGTCGTATGAGCAGTTATAATATCACATTTCCTCGGGGTGAACTGTTTCAATAATATGTGACTTGCATATTCTGATTACTGAGTTCACCTGAAATATCTAGAGAAGCTTCTTCTTACTCTAAACTTATTGGACATACACAGCTGAGACTTCACGAGAGCTTTTATTCTGTCCTTGACAGCTAAGTGACAAATACAGAGCTAATACTATTGACTCTATGCTAATCATGATTTTTATGCCCCTTGGGAGTCTCTTTTTCAACAAAGAACTTCAGTGTATTTAATTCCTTGTTAAATCTTGTTTTCATTTTGAACAATCTGTATTTAAAACTTGTTATAATAAACTAAAGATAAAGAAGTATTTGTTCTTCTGTAAAATCCTTTTACCTGGGATGTTCCTCCTTTCTGATTACCTGCATCTTATATACTCGTCAAAGTTCAGCTTAAATTCTCTTTTCCACAGCTAATTTCCTATTCACTCTAGCTTATAATATTTATTTCCTCTCTTAATTCTTCTGAAAAATGCAATCTCAGCTTCTCATTTGACATTTAACATGATACGTTGTATTCTTCCTTAATATTTTAGGTGTCTGTGTTCTGTTTCTCATCAAACCTGCAAGCATTTCAAGCACATACACCAGGTCTCACATTTTATTTTAACCTTTATGCTACTGACTTCAGTGCTCTGCATAGTGTAGATATTAAATTCTTTTTGAATAAGTGGCTGAAAGATTAAGGTTGTAATAAAACATACTCAGCATTCAAATGAGTATGCTAATTTAGAGGACTGGCCCGTCAGCATGGTGTACTTTGGAGTCTGATATAGTTGGATTTGAATCCCTCTTCAGCCAAGTATTACTTGTGTGACTTTGGGCTAATTGCTTGGTTGTGCTAAGCCTCCTCTGCAAAATGAGCATGATCATTCTGTAGAGATAGATACAGCACTCATTCATTAATTTATTTGTTACACGAACTGCTACTGAATGGTGATAGGCAAATCAAAGAGATCTAAAGTGAAATGACCAGAGTACCTGCTCCCAAGTAACTTACAGTCCATTGTTGCTTTAATTTAAATTAAATATTTTTAATGCAAAAGATATGTGTGTGTGTGCGCATGCGTGCGTGTGTGTGCGCCTGTGAGTTTTGACAGAGGAAATTACCTTCTAGAGGCTTTTTAATGGATCCCTTTGTCATAAAGGACTCATAACGCTAAGCTGGTCTTTCAAATGGGCGGAATAAAGAATGACTGTAGAGGTGACGTAGTGGTTAAGAGAGCTCTGCTGCTAACCAAAATGTTGGTAGTTCAAATCTACCAGCTGCTCCTTGGAAATCCTATGGGGCAGTTCTACTCTGTCCTATAGGGTTACTGTGAGTTGGAATCAACTCGACAGGAACAGGTTTTTTTTGGTTTTGGTAGAGGCGATACAAGTATTTTTAACTTTTTTTCTCTTACCAAAACTCTTGGTACCTAAATACTTCCCATTAAAACTCTGTTCGCATTAAATCACTCTTGCCATAAATAAACTGTAAAATATAGATTTAAAGGAAAGAAGTATCACCCATCAGTACATAGCAGGGTTCATTAGATTAAATTCATTCATTCAATATATATACAGTATAGATTAAGAGTTTACTGTATGACAGAACCTGGCGGCATAGAGGCCTGGTGGCCCAGTGGTTAAGTGCTATGGCTGTTAACCAAAAGATCAGCAGTTTAAATCCACCAGATACTTCTTGGAAACCCCATGGGGCAGTTCTACTCTGTCCTATAGGGTCGGAATTGACTCGATGACAACAGATTTGCTTTGGATTTTTTATGACAGACACTATAATAAATACTGGGGCTAAAACAGGGATTAATCTCTTGTATTTGAAGCCCTGGTGGTTAAGAGATATGGCTGCTAACCAAAAGGTCGGCAGTTTAAATCCACCAGCTGATTCATGGAAACACTATGGGGCAGTTCTGCTCTGTCCTCTAGGGTCCCTATGGGTCGGAATCCACTCAAGGGCAAGGATTGGTTTCATAGTCTTGTACTCATAGAGCTCAGAGCCAACTGGGGGAAATAGTCATTAATTAAGAAGTCCCACAAGTGAATATAAAATTACTGCTCTTACAAGTGTGGTGAAGAGGGAACCATGGAGTTCTGTAAGAGAGTATACTCTGGGAGCTGTGACCAGTCAGAGGGTCAGAGAAGCTTCCCTAGGTAGAGGAAGATTGAGCTTAGACTTGAAGTATAAATCACAGTCAATGAGTTGAAGGGGCTCCAGCAAGAGGGTATTCAGATTCTTCTACTGGCAGGAGGTACTCTAAGAGGTAGATAGATCTTAGACCAGATGGAACCTTGCTAAGCATTGTTAAGGATGCAATGTAAAGGATTTCTGTGTATGCTGAGCATGTTTTGAAAGCACTAAAATGACATGATCAGATTTTGATTTACACATCAGAAAAATTCATAAATGATGGAGAATAGGAAAAATAGCCTTGTTTAGGGGAAGAAGGAGAGTCTCTGGGCAAAGAAGAGAATTATGAAATTTATAGTGTTGTTCAGTACCCGCAGGCCAAGGTTGGGAATACATACTAGTGGTTGGTTTTCTGATAATCTAGGGATCAGGTAAGGATGGTGGGTATCCAGGAGAAGGAAGAGAAGCTGAAAGGGAAGGTTCGCATGAAAAATTTAATTAATTCCACAGACTTGCTTATGTATCTAAAAATATGCATTGCTATATGCATGTATTTAAAATAAAAATGCATGTATAATTTTCTCATAGAAATATTTGAAGACACTGAAGTAGAGTGGTTTGTTATTTGTTTTACAGTATACCTGAATTTATTTCATTTTCTTGTCTCATGTATGTTTTCTCAGTTGTATAAAGAGTACTAAGACTTTTCAACTTATATTTAAATATTTCTACAGAATTAAGAATAACCATTTGGCCCTTGAAGTTTGTGTCTCTGCAGGAAAAATATGAGTAATACAATGTCAAATATGTAAGACTATGTTTGCAAAGAACAATTAGGAATACTAAAACAAGCTGAGTTGTGTATTCATTCTCCTGACCATGACCTGCCCATTAGATCTGTACCAGCTAACAAATTCATCCTGTGGCTGGAGTTCGATTACCGACTCATGAAGAAAGAAGACTGCTTGTTAGGCCTAGCTCTGTAAAGATCCCCAGTAATAAGCTAGATTTTTAAGGGGGAAAAAAAAAAAAACTCAAATACAGCAGAGCAGCGGCAAAGTAGATAGTACCCAGCCTTGTTCTCAAAGATATTTGAAGTTTAAAAATAACCACTATTGTTATTGGTAATGTTTCATTTGTAATGCCCATGGCAACCTGATCAAATATGGAATTCTGAAAGTTGTAAGTTTTCATATTTAACACGTTTCATATGTTGAATAATGATACTTTAAGGAAGAAAAAAGTTTGGGGGAATGCTATTTATTTTTTTCTTATATTTAACCTCGATTTATTTTTTTTCTAGCCCTGCAGCCACTGCTGTGATATCCTTGGCATTTGGACGATATATTCTGGAACCATTTTTCATTCAGTGTGAAATTCCTGAACTTGCAATCAAGCTCATTACAGCTGTGGGCATAAGTGAGTATTATAGTTATAAATATGAAAAACTACACCAACAACAAAGTAGTTGAGGAGAGTTTATGCCATCTTTTTGTATGTTGGGGCTACTCTCCACATCGTGTTCTTTGTGTTTATAATTCCTTGGAAAATTTGTTTTCAAGAATAAAGAAAATGATAAGGATTTGGAGTGATCCCTGATATTTTATTACATATCAGTTTTTGTATTGGTTCAAGAGATACGGTGACTAATCTTTTAAAACAAGGAAACAAAAACCATATTGTTAATAAAATAGTAATGGATTATATCTAGAAAGAGACTTTTAAACATGAAAACCTAATTTTTTATGGATTTTTTAAATTAAAAATTAACCTTCCTCAGCAATAATGGGTTGAATCGTAATTCACTTATTCTCATGGAATTATGTTTGTGTTGAGTGTGTATGTTGTGCTTATACATTTTATGGTGTTAGTAGCTGTCACTTTTAGCGTCATTGTTTTAGTTGCCTGTTGATGGTCATAATAAGAATCTTCTTTCAAGATTTGATTACTAGTTACATTTCTCAACTAGGAGTTTTATTTACATTCCTTAAATTAGGATGTTGTTCATCTTTATCAATGGGCACAGATATTAGAAATTTTAAAAAAAGAAATAAAGAGTAACATGTACAAAATTACGTGAGTAACGTGGAGTCAAATATGACTATAGCTTCTTATAAAAGTTTAAATTCCAAACCCTTGATTATTATGGGAAAAACCTGTTGCCGTGGAGTTAATTCTGACTCACAGAGACCCTATAGGACAGAATGGAACTGCCCCATAGGGCTTTCAAGGAGCGGCTGGTGGATTTGAACTCCCTATCTTTTGGTTAGCAGCTGAGCTATGGGAAGGGAGAACTTAATTCTAGATGCTAATCAAATTGCTGTTTTAAGAATCTAGATGATCTTTTGATTAAGTTTAACTACTTGATTAGTTTTAACTACTCAGAATTAGAAAGCGACACAAGAATAAATGAACTGCACACTCCTGATAGAATTTTTAGCTATGTATGGCTAGGGTGTTTCACCATAACAAAACAAACACCCTAGACATACATGGAAACCCTGGTGGTATAGTGGTTAAGAGCTACTGCTGCTAACCAAAAGGTCTGCAGTTCGAATCCACCAGGTGCTCCTTGGAAACCCTATGGGGCAGTTCTACTCTGTCCTATAGGGTTGCTATGAGTTGGAATCAACTCGACGGCAATGGGTTTGGTTTTGTTTTGGTTTAGCCATATATAACTAAAGTCCTTTCATGAGAATGCGAAGAGGAGCCCTGGTGGTGCAATGGTTAAGCCTTTGGCTGCTAACCAAAAGATCAGCAGTTCGAAAACACCAGTGACTTCAAAGGAGAAAAGACCCAGAGATCTGCTCCCATAAAGATGACAGCCTTGGAAACCCAAAGAAGCAGCTCTATTCTATCCTATAGGGTCACTATGAGTCGGAGTCGACTTGAATGCCCGCAACAACAACAACAGGGTGTTTCAATAGATGAAGAGAACAAGGCAAGTATGGCAGCAGAGAGGTGAGTGATTAGTTTACAGGAAAGAGTTAGGAATTATACATAAATATCTCTCTAATGCATGTTGTTTCATAACTGAAATCATAGGTACATTCTAGTTTTCCTGATTTATGGACCAAAGATGTATGCACAATTGTTCTTCTGTGAAATCTCTGAAAAAAAGACAGAAGTACTCAAAGTGGATATTTCTGAGTTCTGGAGTGGTAATGATTAAGAAAGTAGCTCTGGTGGTACAACGGTTAAATGCTCAGCTGCTAACCAAAAGGCTGGTATTTCAAACCCACCCAGCTGTTCCTGGGAGAAAGACCTGACAAACTTCTTCCATAAAAAACCCACTATGGGACACTTCTACTCAGTCTGATAGGGTCGTTATGATTCGAAATTGACTTGATAGTACCCAACAACAACAACAATGGTTGAATACAGATGTACTTGATTCATCTTGCCCTTAACATTCACTACAGATATGAGACTTAGAGGTAAGTCAGTTAAACCTTTTGCACCTTAGTATTCTTATCTGTATATCACACTACTCAGGAAGATGTCCTGAGGATTAAATCATATTTGATGAGATAATGTATCTAGAGATTTTCTGGTAAACTTGTAATTTGTTGTTGTAGGTGCCATCAAATCAGTTCTGACTCATAGCGACTCTCTGTACAACAGAACAAAACGAAGCCCAGTCACATGCCATCCTCACAATCATTCTCATGCGTGAGCCCACTGTTGCAGCCACTGTGTCAGTCCATCTCATAGAGGGTGTTCCGTTTTTTTGCTGACCCTCTACTTTAAGTAGCATGATGTCCTTCTCTGGTGACTGTTCTCTCTGATAACATGTCCAAAGTATGTGAAATGAAGTTTCACCATCCTAACTTCTAAGGAGAATTCTGGCTGTACTTCTTCCGAAAGAAGTTCGTTTTTCTGGTAGTCCATGATATAGTCAATATTCTTTGCCAACTCCAAAATTCAAATTCATCAATTCTTCTTCGGTACTCCTTATTCATTGTCCAGCTTTCGCATGCATATGAGGCAATTAAAAATACCATGGCTTGGGTCAGGCACACTTTAGTCCTCAAAGTTACATCTTTGCTTTTTAACACTTTAAAGAGGACTTTTGCAGCAGATTTGCCCAATGTAATATGTCATTTAATTTCTTGACTGCTGTTTCCATGGGTGTTGATTGTGTCCAGGTAAAATGAAATCTTTGATGAAGTCAATCCTTTCTCTGTTTATCATGACATTGCTTATTGGTCCAGTTGTGAGGATTTTTGTTTTCTTTATGTTAAGATGCAATCCATACTGAAGGCTGTAGTCTTTGATCTTCATCAGTAAGTGCTTCAAGCCCTCTTCACTTCCAGCCAACAAGGTTGTTAATGAGTCTTCCTCCAATCCTAATTGCCTCATTTTACAATTTAATCTATTGCTGCCAGAGTCGATTCCGACTCATGACAACCCTATAGGACAGAGTAGAAATGTCCCGTAGAGTTTCCAAGGAGCGCCTGGTGGATTTGAACTGCTGACCTTTTGGTTAACAGCCATAGCACTTAACCACTCGCCACCAGGGTTTCCTTTTGCAATTTAGTAGGGACAAAATACAAATTGTATAGCTTATAGCCATTTCTACTCTTATCCTGCGGGAAAACATCATTTGTAGTACTATGACACCAGGAGTTTATTCTCCACTATATTTCTAGCCCCTAGCACAGTGTCTCTAGCATGTTGTAAATATTTGTTACAAACTGGTTTTATAAGAATAGGTCTACGAATTTTTCTCTAGGAAAAAGTCTGTGGTCATTCTACTTGTTAAACTTGGAAGATTACACATCCCCAAGCTTCTTGAGTAGCAGGAAAATGTTATAAAAGAAAATATAGTTTGTTGTACATGTTGTTCAGATCTAACCCCATAAGTTTTGTAAAATGAACCACTTTAGCATAGTGGTATTGGCCAGGCTCTGGAAGTAAACAACCTAGAACTGAAACCTAGCATCAAAACTTCCTCGTTATGTTATCTTGGGTTAATTATTAATAATCACCAATAAATAAAAATCTCAGTTTTATTTATTGGTAAAATGCCTATGAATAGATAAAATATCTTACACAGCTATAGAGAGATGAGATTAAGTAAGTCTTTAGGCCTTTAGAAAGTTCTTGATAAATCTGGTGTTCTGCTGAGGAATTGCAGTAACAACTTTTGTTATACCCATTATATTCTTGATCCTTGAATAACAAGGCAGAATCATATCACAATAATTGGGTTAGAAAATAGAAGAGTTGTTTCTGTTATTTGTCGCTGAGTTAACTTCGACTCATGTTGACCTTATGTATAACAGAATGAAACATTGCCTTGTCCTGTCCCATTCTCATAACTGTTGGTATGTTTGAACCCATTGTTGCAGCTATTATATCAAGTCATCTCATGGAGAATTTTCCTCATTTTTGCTGACCCTCTACTTTAGCAAACATTGTCTTTTTCTAGCAACTGCTTTTTCCTGATGATGTATCCAAAGTAAGTATGCTGAAGTCTTGCCATCCTCACTTCTCAGGAGCACTTTGGCTTATACTTCCTGCAAGACTGGTAAAAGGGAAGGGTAGGGGCAACATTTTGGAGACTTCTGTAAATAACAATGTTGTTATTGTTAGCTTCCTTTGAGTTGATCCCTGATTCATGGTGTCCCCATGCACAAATGCTGCCTTGTCCCACACCATCCCCATGATTAATTGGGTATCCATTGTAATCCATAGGGTTTTCATTGCCTGATTTTTGGGAGTAGATCCCAGGCCTCTCTTTCTGGTCTGTCCTAGTCTAGAAGCTCCTCTGAAACCTGCTCAGCGTCATAGCAACACTCAAGCTTCCACTGACGGATGGTGCCTATGCATTGGCCAGAAATGGAAACTAGGAAGGCAAGAATTCAATCACTAAATCACCAGTACCTCATAAAATTAACAACAGAAGATACTAATGAAAAGCTACAACCTGAAGACTTTAATTTGATCCTATATAAATATTTACAAATCCACAAATATTGCCTGCTTTGGACTTGAAATGAGATATGTAAGGATATTTCTATTTTGGTAAGTCTGGATGACTTACTTCTCATTATCCCAATTTTATTAAAATTTTCAAAGGCATTTTTTGTATTATTGAGAATTAGCAAAAATTGTCAAACCAAAATTTTAACGCAATTATGGAAAACGATAACTAAGGATGCTGAGATTTAAAAATCTTCTGTAGTAGAGACTGGTGATAGAATAGTTAATAAAGAACTTGAGTAAAGCTCAGATGAACGTAAACATTTCCTTCCATTTTTTGCCATTAGTTATAACATCAGTTTATAGATTTGGTGGCATAGAGGTTAAGAGCTATGGCTGTTAACCAGAAGGTTGGCGGTTCGAATCCACCAGGCACTCCTTGGAAATTCTATGGGGTGGCTCTACTCTGTCCTATAGGGTTGCTATGAGTC